TGTGATATTGGCATTGTTTCAGTGGTCTGGAACCGAGCACGCAATATTTCTGAGGTATACCTGTACTAATGAAACTCTTTCATACAAGCAAAGTGGCATAACTTGAACTTATAAAAAGTAGGGAATACCTGCAATTTTCAAACCTATTGAAGTGCTCTACTAAATGGGTACCTAGACAGAGATAACATATGTAGGATTCCCCCCACCCTTAGGGAACTTTTTACTTTGTTCTTTCAACTTTGTTGGGAGTTTCAAGATAGAGCAGGGGCGAAAGTCAAGGTGAGCAGCCCCTTGTTATGTAAAGAATAATAGGTTAAACTTCCGGCTCTCGCTCAGGTCGTAATCTCCAGATTTGTGAGTTCCCGCTCTGTGTCGGGCTCTGGGCTGACAGCGCCGAGGAGCCTGCTTGGAATCCTCTCTCTCTCTCTCTCTCTCTGCCTCTACCCCATTTATGCTCTCTCTTTCTCTCTCCAAATAAATAAATGTTTAAAAAAAAAGAATAGGGGCGCCTGGGTGGCTCAGTTAAGCGGCCGACTTCTGCTCAGGTCATGATCTCGCGGTCCGTGAGTTCGAGCCCCGCGTTGGGCTCTGTGCTGACAGCTCAGAGTCTGGAGCCTGTTTCAGATTCTGTGTCTCCCTCTCTCTGAGCCTCCCCCGTTCATGCTCTGTCTCCCTCTGTCTCAAAAATAAATAAACGTTAAAAAAAAAAAAGAATAATTTAGAATTTCCTTAATCATATAAGTGTAGGGTGAATATACCATTATTTTGGGATTAATGATGGATGATAGACTAAAAGTGAGTCACCTTAAAGAGATCTTCCTTGTTTTAGGTGTTACTGACATAATTTCCTCTAATTAAGCAAGTGCAAATGGAAAGGACCCCATTGTCATAGGAGAAGGAAATACTAGGAGGTCAAGGGAGATGGTTCCAGTTCATGGTCATGGTAAAAATCTGATTGGTACAGATGTGACATTTTAGCTCAGGTCTATTTAATGTAGAGGCTCCTTAACTGAAAATAATGCTAGCATGGCTGCCTTTTCCTGAAGAACCCTTTAGCTGAGGGTTCTACCTCACCCTTCCCAGAAACCAAAGGAGAACTCTGAGGTCTATTAGTATCCACTGGACCCAACCGTTGGGGATAGTGCCCCCACCAGCCTCCTCCTCCAACCTCATGTGGTCTCTATGGGAGCCCGAATGGCACCTGGGTTTTCCCCTTGTCATAGCTCAAATTGTAACTGCCTTACAACTGGGAAGCAACAACGAATTGAAAAAATAACTCTAAGGACCATGGCCAGTTTGGCCAGAAGCCTCTCCACTGAGCCTAACACTGAAGGGAGTACAACCTACCCCACATATTTAATGATAAAGGAACTGCTGCTGTCCCAGCATTTGTGATTGCTACAGGAGCTGGAGACTTTACTTGGGTTCTGATTTTTAGACACAACTTTCCAAGGTTGTGGATACCAGCTTCTACTTAGACACCGGTATCCATCCACCAGTTGGGTCCCACAGGCGTTTAATGAACTAAGGAAACTCTGGATACAAAAGAGGAAGGGTTTGTGGCTCTACAGGGGGACAGGTCAGTTTACTGCTCTTTCTGGTGTTTCTGGCACGGAAGTTCAAATGTTCACTCTAGAATGGAGCAGCGCTCATTATTTGTACATTGCTTATACATATATTCCCAAATCTGTCCTTTTATGACTCTCCACCGTCGACAAAGCCATATTTGGTGCCTTTTTAAATCTAGTTTTATCTTTATAAAAAAAGTGGGAGAGAGGGATAATTGGATACATTACCAAGGATCTTAAAGGGATGGAATAGTAAAATGGTTTATTCATTTAGTAGTTTGGGCTCCTGGTGATGTTTTCATTATAGGTTAAATATAGGGGTGTATGGCTAGAGAAGCAAAAGGAGAAGAAAATGTTAACCAATATAAAGCATGTTCTGACAGGTATAGGGGGCACTGAAGGAAGATGTGATGGAATAATCCCTGAATAATGTCCTGTTAAAGCTCTCTTTCCATGCCATACTAACCTCTACCCACACACTAACCACCCCTATTAGGCTGTGGGACAGAGTTAAGACAGTGGCTCTCTAAGTGCTCTCATAATGAAAACTACTTTATAATAAACTCCTCTGGGACTTGAATTTCAAGTCTCCCTTGGAAGGAGCCATTACTTATTCTGCAAATGGACTCATCACCTACTACCTACAGTTCTGGGTATAGTATTTTAGGAGAAATCTAAAACCAATAAGTTGTTTCACCCTCAATGACATTACAATCTGGTAGTGGTCAGAAGGTAATTACCCAGAAAGCAAGGTAGTAATTTGTGAGAAAGGCCATAAAAGAGATAGAGAAAAATCCTACCTACCCGGAGGGAAGAAATACTTCTTCTGCTCTTCAGCTGTCTGTTGCTGCACAACAAACAGCGCCAAACAAAGTGATGTATGTTTTTAACTTCTGATTATGCATGTTGGCTGGATGGTTCTTTCATTGGTTTCACCCAGGCTCATTCATGAGTGTGCAGTGGTGACTGGTAACAACTGAATGGTCCAAGATGGCCTTACTTACATGTCTGGCAACTGAATGTGCTGGCCTGATGGGGCTTCTTTATGGCATGGCGGTGCTTAGGGCAATGGTCCAACAGAGTGAAAGGAGAAGCTCTAAGACATCTTTATGCCTAGCTCCAGCATTAGCACAACTTCATCCCTACTATATCTAATGGTTAGAGCAAGTCATAAGGCTGCCCAGGTTCAAGGCATGGGGAAATGGACTTCACACCTTGATGGGAGGAGCTGCAAAATATGGTGGCCATGCTTTTTGACCTACTACAGATGGTAAAATTGAAGCGATTGGTACATCTACGCATATTTGTTAAATATCTACTCTTTGTGAAAGACACTCCTTAAGAAACACACACTCTTGTTAGGGAGACATAATGTGAAAAGTCACTGTACAAAATATCAACATGAGTATCTTTTATTACGTGGAAAAATATGAATACAAGAAATTCATGATGCAAAATGTGCTCCACACCAAATGAGTTAAACAGTATCATCCAAGTTCAGGGAAAGAAGAAATCACTTCCAGCCAGAGCAGCCAGAGAAAACTTTAGAACTATAAAGAGGGATTCTTACATTATTGTGCATGGATAACTTGGATCTGAGCTCTGTCTCGAGTAGATCAACAGGCAGAGAATTACAAAAAGTAATGATAATATTTGTAACTTGCTCCCAGTTAACAAAGCACTTTTATATTTTGATTTCAAAACCCACTACAAGATGGACAGGGAAGGCAAGACTAATTTTGTAGATATAGAAACGGAGGTTCTGTAAGCTATAGTTACTTAAACTAAGTGGGAGATTGAAACGGGACTAAAAGTCCAGTTCTTCTGACCTACGGTTTAATGCTTCTGCACTCACATCATTTGCCAGCCAGATTGAAAAAGGAAGAAGCACAGAGGTGGCAGAATACACGATATTTGGGATGGAGTCTTTTTTTTATGCTCAATGCCTGGCACATGGAAGTTGCTATATAAATGGCTATTAAATTAATCAATGAACAAACTTAAGCACCATCTTGAGGTGAATTTGTGTACTGAGTAATACTGTCACCTGCGGTCCCATCCAGGGTGAATATCCAGCTGAGGTACTCCAGTGTGGCTGGCATCAGGTGTTTATGGCTGGTGTTGGCTGCTTGCTTGATTCCTGTGCGATCCAGGTGAATAGTGTCAATATTATCCCTGGTATGTGCCATCTTACTTGTGGGGTGGGGTCTTCTCACTTACACTGGAGAGGTGTATTAGTTTGCCAGGGCTGCCATAACAAAATACAACAGACCAGTGGCTTAAACAACAGAAATTTATTTTCTTACAGTTCTGGAGGCTTGAAGTCCAAGATATAGGTGTCTACAGGCCTCTCTCCTTGGCTTGCAAATAGCTGCCTTGTCCACTGTGTCCTCACATGGCCTTTTGTCTGTGCACACATATACCTGGTGTCTCTTCCTTTTTTTATTTTTTTTCAACATTTATTTATTTTTGGGACAGAGAGAGACAGAGCATGAACGGGGGAGGGGCAGAGAGAGAGGGAGACACAGAATCGGAAACAGGCTCCAGGCTCTAGCCATCAGCCCAGAGCCCGACGCGGGGCTCGAACTCACGGACCGTGAGATCGTGACCTGGCTGAAGTCGGACGCTTAACCGACTGCGCCACCCAGGAGCCCCCTTCCTTTTTTTTTTTTATATGACACCAGTCATACTGGATTAGGGTCCCTTATGACCTTATTTAACCTTAATTACCTCTTTAAAGTCCCTATCCCCAAATAGTCACATTGGGATTACAAGGTAAAAGCTTTAACGTAATGAATTTTGAGGGGAATATTTCATAAAAGTCTATGACCCAAGGATATAAAGAAACTGTAAAGATTTGGAAGCATTTTTTCTTCAGGCTTTCAGCCAAGTAGTAACCTTCCAACCTTCCAAGTTGTTGCTAAATAGATGGTGGAGAATAGGGTGAGAAACATCGGCCTAGCTTCTGTGACCCACAGTGTCCCAATTTGATTTCTCTTCTTCATATACCCTGTTTCTTCTTTCCCCTTTCCTGAAGTGGTAATTTATACCTGTGTGAAAACAGCACAGTCCCTGACTCCATTTCCAGGGCAAAGAATGTTTTCAGTTATACCCAGAGTGAGTGAGTTAATCAAGATGCAGGGTAGTATGGGAGTTTGGGTGAGGTGGGAGAGGGTATAGTCTAGTTGTTTATCGTTGTTCTTGTTTAAGTAGGCTCTGTGCTGGGAGCCCAATGCAGGACTTGAAATCATGAACTCATGGACATAGTTCTAGCTTCTTTTAGGTACATACAGGGTAGCAGTGTCTAGAAAAGATAAGAACAATGCTGTGCAATAAAAATTTCTGTGATGATGGAAATGTTTCTCTACCATGGATAATGGTAGCCACTAGCCTCATCTGGCTGTTGAGCAGTTGCAGTGTGGCTAGTATAACTAAGGAACTGAATTTTTGTTTTTATTTCATGTTAATGTTCTTACATTTACATAGCCACATTTGGCTAGTGGTTACTGTTTTGAACAGTGCACAATAAGAGTTGATGTTGATGGGCTGGGTGCACCTCTGGTTGTTCTTCTTACCCAATTTATGGTTAGGCGGACCTAGAGAAACCAGAAAGAAAAAGAGACAATGGGGAATAATAATAATAGCCAACATTTACTATAATTTACTATAATTATAATTACTATAATTCCAGGCACTTATCTAAACACTTAACAAGCATTTTCTACACTTCTTGCAACAACAGTAAATACTATTATTATCACTACCTTACAGATGAGAATACTGAGGCAGAATGAGACTTTCACTTGCCTCAGATCACACAGCCAGTAAGTGAGGGGTGGAGAAGGAATTCATACACAGGTAGTTTGATTGCAGAGTCTACTCATCTATACTACATACACTTGGGAATGGAGGTGGCATGGAGTGACTGGAGCCATAGTTTCCAAACTCTGTGTCCTGGTATAAATTCTCAGGGGTACCATGGGATATTTAAAGATTTTAAGGGAAACACAGCCATATTCAATATCTCTGTATACTCTGCAAACTACCAGTTCAAAGTAACTCATAATACGAACATTAGATTGTTGCAACATTCCTTTTGATGACAAAATATCTTTGTGAAGTTGGGTTTTAGGAGGTCCCTCTGATAAAAAAAAATAAGTACTGCATGAAAATCATCCCAGAACAGGAAATGAGGGTAGCAGTATTGGATTCCAAGGTTTGAGAAGTTGTTCAATGCCCAACAGGCACACACATCCCCTTAGGGATTATTTGCAGTTATCTAAGAAATATAAACAAATATTTTTTTTCGTTCAGTGTGTGTGTATTATTTTTTTCTAAATGGTTGCTAAGTTGTTAGGAACCAACTACTTAAAAAGTAAATGTGTTAAGTATTTATTTTGAACTAAGGGGGCTATAAAAAATTGCTGAGATACTAAGTGCACTGTAAACTGAGAAACTGGGAACCTCTTGACTGGGATGTTGAAAACAGATCAAAATGGTCATAAATGAATAGAGTATGGGGACTTGGCTTGAGGTGGCTTAAAGAGAGATAATAAACATTTCATATATTTGACGGTTAAGTATCTGCTGTATACAGTGTTCACAGTGCAGCAGATATACACACTCAAAATGCCTGAGTCTGTGCCCTTTAGAGGTCAAAAACTTGTGAGGTAGGCAGTAAGAGATGTAAACTAGCCAAGGTTAGGGGTAGGATGGGATTCAAGGTAGGGTCTGATGTGACCTGGACCCTGAGCCCTCTTGTTGGATAGGCCACAAGATAAAGATGTGGTCTGAGGAGGCCTGCTGAGTCTCATAGGGTAGACTCTTCTCTGGGTCATGTGTGAAACCAATGAGATTGGGGGTCTAAGTGATTGTGCTGGAGGCGGGTTGCTGAACTTGAATTCAGAATAAAGTATGTTGTGAAGTTGTAAAGGTAATGTCACCCTGGCCAAGGAGCAGTCTGGTAAACTGTCTTTGCCTGTCACATAACAGTACATTTCTTTGGTGGCCAGAATGTTTATGTCTCTCTTTCTCTCTCTTTCTCTCTCTCTCTCTCTCTCTCTCTCTCTCTATATATATATATATATATTAAACATTATATATATATATATTAAACATTATATATATATATACACACACACCCTTCCCCACGTGATGCTGTGGAAACATTACAGAAGACTGAGGCTGGTCCCCCATTTTTCTTTTTGTAGATTTATCATAGATCGTCTTCTTTTGGTTTATATACACTTACTTTAGACAGTCCATAAAATTAATTGACTAAGTTTGCACTTTCTTAAATATAATTATGTCATACTCTTGTCTTTTGTGTAAACTGGATTGGATTTGGGCAATTAAAAAAAACTTTCGCCAATCAAATATAGATGAATATTTCCTGGGGATGATTTTTACTTAGGACTGATCTCATCCATCATTTAAAATTGTGCTTTCAGGGATGCCTGGGTGGCTCAGTCGGTTAAGTGTCTGACTTCAGCTCAGGTCATGATCTCCTGGTTTGTGAATTTGAGTCCCACATCCAGCTGTCTGCTGTCAGCGCAGAGCCTACTTCAGATCCTTTGTCCCCACGACCCCCGCCCCTTCCCTGCTCGTTCTCTCTCTTTCTCTCAAAATAAATAAATAAATAAACTTTAAAAAATTGTGCTTTCAATGTTTCAATTGTTCATAGTTCATTACGAAGGTGAACTTTACTTTTAGATTACCCTGTTGTTACCTTTGCTAAAATTACTCAATGAATAAGGATAATAATAATAATAGCATAACAACAAAAACGATGATAGAATATACCCTTCATTTGGTACTGGACTCAGTTTTATGAATGAGACAGAAACAGGGCTGGGAAACAGTGGCTTGGACCATAGCAGTGGGTAAGGTGGGTAAAATGGCAAACAGGAAAAATTGTGTTCAGGAAACTGGAAACAGATGGGGGATTCTGATAGCTAAGCAAGGATGTGACTCACAAGGGAAAAAACCTGAAATGAAGTCAATCCTATTAAGAAAGCACATCTAAATGGAGCTATGAGTCCACTAGAGAAGTGGGGCTTATGCAAGGCCATCTGGGCACAGAACATTAACGTTAAATATAGTTCATTCCTGGGGCACCTGGGTAGCTTAGACGGTTAAGTGTCTGACTTTCGCTCAGTTCATGATCTCACAGTTGGTGAGTTTGAGCCCTGCATCGCGCTCTGTGCTGACAGCTCAGAGCCTGGAGCCTGTTTTGGATTCTGTGTCTTCTCTGCCCCTCTTCCACTTGCACTTTGTCTCTCTCTCTCTCTCTCTCTCAAAAATAAATAAATATAAAAAAAATTTTTAATAATAAATATAGTTCATTGCCAAACTGCAATATACTGCTTCTTGCAGCCCCAGATGGAAAGCTGCAATTCAACAGGAATTAGACTCTTTTAGCCAATTATAATTTTGCAAAACAATTTATGTAAGCCATCTTGGAATGCTCTTTTTTGCCATTAGAGACCCACTGCTTTTACCCATCAGCAGAGCACAGTTTGGATTTTCTCCCAATATGTGTCTCCCAAATTGCAATTCTTAAGTCCCCAAATAAATTTTTGTTTGCCTTGCAGCTTCACTGCAAATTTTGTTTGACATTACATGACGTCAGAAGTGGGACCGGAGAGCATCTCATCTCCCTCCTCTGGCTCTCTCATAGATTCAAATGAGGTACTTACAAGGGTCCGTTGTGCCCTGTCATCTCCCCAGTGGTCCCAGTCAGAGTCTGATAAGTCTTCTTGTAATCCAAATTTCCCAGTCTGAGGTTCTGCTTTGAGTGTCCTCTGTTGCCACTTTTGTTCTCAGGACTTCACTTCCTGTCTGTTGCCCTGGTGAGTACTTAGTTCCTCTTGAAAATGCAGTTTGCTTTTTGAGAGATAGGCTGCTGGGCAGCCTTCTTCTGGAAATCCTACTAGTCTTATATATAAGAATTATGGGTCCTCATCCTGCAAATTCCTGTCTCTCTGGACAATGATTACCTGGGATGATTTAAAATTTAATTGGCCAACCTGGGGCTCTTTCAAAATTCCTATGTTAGTTTATATGTGCAATCAATTAGAGAAAGAATAGAAGACTAAATAATCCATATGAGGAATTTGTTTGTGAAAGAGAGAGAGTGAGCAGGGGAGAGGGGCAGAGGAAGAGAGAGAGAGAGAGAGAGAGAGAGAGAGAGAATCAGAAGCAGGTTCCACACTCAGCGAGGAACCTGATGTGGAACTTGATCCCATGACCCTGGGATCATGACCTGAGCTGAAACCAAGAGTCGGGTGCTCAACCGAATGGAGCCACCAAGGTGCCCCATGGGAAGCTTATTTTAATTATCATTTCAAGTCTTCAAAATGTGTTCATGACTCAAAAATTGCTTCCTTCCAGGATACTAATTCTAAACTAAGGTAAATTCTGAATTGTCTCAGAGACTTACTAAACTCGAAGAGTCTTCTGCTGCTCCATCACTTCCTCCATTTGCTCCCCACTGCCTATCTGTCCACCATCCCTCTCTCATTTTCTTGCTGAACTTCCTTTCTATGATTATCTGGAGACTTCTCAGGACCCACCCCTACCTGTAGCATCTTTTATAGTTAAGCCAGGAGATGATATTTTAGGATCCCAGTTCTCTCGTTCTCCTTGGAGTAAAGCTGAACTATGAGCTATTACCAAGGAGTTTCCTAACCCTAGAGAAAACCCTATTGGGTTTGCTAGACAATTCTTGATTGTAGTCCAAATTTATAAGCCAGGATTCTCTGATCTTTATCAGCTCATTCTCATGTCAGTAGATGAAAGACTTGCTAGAGAATGGATGCAAAAAGGAGTATGGACAGATCTTTTATTGGATTTCCCCACAAAAAGGCTGTAGACATGAAAGAAGCCTCAAAATTAGCTAAAAGACTCCACAAAGAGATTCTTGATGGTTTTCCCCATACTATTGACCTGGAAAAAAATCCAAAAAATGTGTCCAAAGATCTGATGAATGGGTTTTGTATGATTTTGAAAGATGTGAGAACATTTTTAAGCAATTATCTGGCATTGAAAAAGTTGACCATCACACCTCCACCTTGTTAAATTGTGCTTTTATTGAAGGTTTGCAAGAGGAACCTGCAACTCAGATTTAAAAATTTTTAATTAATTAATTAATTTTTCAAAACCTGCAACTTAAACCAAACAAAAACAAAAACCACCCCTGCAACTTAACTGGGCTACTATGAAATTCCATGACCTAGTTAATTACTGCTGGGCAGCTCTCCAAAGCTATTCAACAAGATACAAAAAAGAAACCCACACAAGCCCTAAATACTCAAGTATAAGCAACCCAAATTAGGAACATGCAATTACAACAATTGACACACATCTTTTTTCCAAAAAAAAGGAAATATTTTTAAATTTTAACCTGATGAAAAATCTCAAGACGATTTCTTGGTTACTGTCCCTGTGTTCTTTATCTTTTTTTTTTTTTTAAGATTTTTTTTTTTTTTTAATGTTTAGGTAATCTCTACACTCAACGTGGGGCTCAAACTCACAACCCTGACTGAGATCAAGAGTTGCATGCTCCATGGACTGAGTCAGCCAGGTATCCCCTGTCCCTGTGTTCTTTAATAACATAGCTCATACACCCATCTCTCTCCAAGATTCTATCCATGAGAAACTTTGGGCAAAAAAATGCCACTGATAGAGGCCACATCCACTCTGCACCACCTATAAAAATTCTAGTGGATGAAAGAAAGCCTCTGACAAATATTTACCAACATCCATTTTTAAAAATGTTTTTATTTATTTAGTTTTGAAGGAGAGACAGACAGAGCATGAGCGGGGGAGGAGCAGAGAGAGAGGGAGACACAGAATCCAAAGCAGGCTCCAGGCTCTAAGCTGTCAGTACAGAGCCTGATGCGGGGCTCAAACGCACAAACTGTGAGATCATGACCCGAGCTGAAGTCAGACATTTAACCGACTGAGCCACCCAGGTGCCCCTGCCAACATCCATTATATACAGAGGCTGTTCAAGGAATCAAGCCCATAATTGAGGAATATATTAAATAAGGCCAAAAAAAATTTTTTTAAACACACACAAAGCCTAACTCTTCAATATACAAGCCCTTGTAATATCCCCTTCCTTCCTGTACAAAAATCCCATGGAAGAGAATGGAGGTTTGTTCAGAAGTTAAGAGTTATCAACAATATCCTTATTCTTCAGCACCCAGTTGTGCCAAATCTTCATACTCTACTTTCAGTCTTATCTCCAGAAAGCACAACCTTCACTGTCATAGATCTTTGTACCGACCCTGAAAGCCAATACCTGTTTGCCTTTACATGGGAAAATCAACAATTTACCTGGATTGTTATGTCTCAGGGCTATACCAAAAGCCCTACCTATTTTTCTCAAATTCTGAAGGCTGATTTGCTGATGTCATTTTTTTTTTTCAGAATTCTTCCTTTTTGCAATATGTGTATGATCTCCTCCTCTGTTCCCCCTCAGAAGAGACATCCTTGGAAGACACTGTCCATCTCCTCTGAGAATTAGCAAAAAAAAAAAGGACATAAAATGTCAAAAGAGAAACTCCAGAGTTGCAAATTCAAGTTAAATACTGGGGCATCTAATTATTGATCATGGCCTCCATCTAGATCCAGACAGGAGTCAGGGCATTTTACCCTTCCCTTGCCATAGCACAAAAAGCTCACAGGATCGGGGGGACTAGCAGTGTAGTGTAGGAACTGGATTTCACTGTTTTTGTTTTTGTTTTTTTTTGCCATAGCCCAGTGTTTATACTCTTCCTAAAGCTGATCAGACTAAACTTCTCATCTGGTCAAAAAGGCTCAAGATTCCTCATTAAAGACAGCCTTCATGACTTACCTGCACTGGGTCATCTTAATTACAAGTTGCTTTTTTCCTTTTTTTCCACAAAATTATGGGAAATGCCATATGTGTACTTACTCAATGCCATGGGGATCAACATAGGCCCATAGGTTATTAGAGCCAACAATTAGATCTAGTAGCTAAGGGCCTCCCTCCTCATATGAGGCCAACAGCAGCTACTGCCAACTTGCCACAACGCATAAAAGAAAGAGTGATGGGTTCTCTACTTACCATCCACTCAGTAGAAGCTTTGCTTCACTCTCCTCACACTCAGCTCTTATCTACCAGCAGGCTAACCTCCATTGAAGGACTTTTGCTCCCCGCCCCCTCACCATGACCATTGCTTCCTGTAACACCTTAAACCCGGCCACACTTCTTCCTCTGCCAACTGATGAAACCTCTCATGACTGTTTAAAGCTGACTAATCAACTTTTAACCCCTTGGATTGCTTTACAGGAAATTTATCTCAAGAATGCTGAATTAATCTGGCTTACTGACAGATCCTATTTAAAGGATAAAACCGGTCTCTATCTAGATGGTTATGCTATAATATCTAACTGAAACCACTGAAGCTAAACCCATACCAACGGCCACTTCTGTTCAGCAGGCAGAACTCTTTGCCTTAACTAGAGCCTATTTTCTAGGTAAAGATAAAGCTGCTAACATCTATTCCAATAGTACATATGCCTTTGGTGTTGCTCATGATTTTGGTATGCTCTGGAAACAAAGAGGTTTCTTGACTTCTTCTGAACAGAAAATAAAAAATAGTTCTTATGTATTAGATCTATTAAATGGTATCTGGGGTGCTTGGTGGCTCAGCCGGCTGAGTGTCCAACTTCAGCTCAGGTTATAATTTCACAGCTCATGAGTTTGAGCCCCACGTTGGGCTCTGTGCTGACAGCTCACAGGATTCTGTGTCTCCCTCTCTCTCTGCCTCCTCCCCCCAAAATAAATAAACATTACAAATTTTTTAAATGTTATTCAACTACCCAAATTTGGTGATAATTAAAATTTTAGGACACTCTATGGCAAACAGAGAAAAGCAGAGGAAGTCGTTTGCCTGATGCAGTTACTAACTCAGCAGCTTTAAGTCAGCCCTCACCTTTATTTTTTTTTTATTAAAAAAAATTTTTTTTTCAACGTTTATTTATTTTTGGGACAGAGAGAGACAGAGCATGAACAGGGGAGGGGCAGAGAGAGAGGGAGACACAGAATCGGAAACAGGGCCACCAGCCCAGAGCCCAACGCGGGGCTCGAACTCACGGACCGCGAGATCGTGACCTGGCTGAAGACGCTTAACCGACTGCGCCACCCAGGCGCCCCTCAGCCCTCACCTTTAATAAAGGCACCTGCAACTTCCATGTCTCCTGAATTCGCTGACAATCAAAAACGTAAAATAACAGAAGCCCAATAGTTAACTGTTTGGCAAAATAGAAAGAAATGGACAGAACAAGGTTATAAATCTGACCTCAGATAAAATCAATGGATAGATCCTATCAACCCATCCTCCGATTGCCTACAGAGAGATGTCCCACAATATATACATGATTTGACACATTAGAATACTGATAAGATGGTCTCACTGGGAAGACGATACTACTAGAAGCCATCACCAAAAATCATCTCACAGGTATACCCTAGTTGTCAGATTTACCCAAAACAGAATTCTGGAAAGCCTATTCATACTTGTATGGGACATTCCCCTTTGCCTTCTGGACCTTTCATGCTATGGCAAATGGATTTCATCCTGTTGCCTCCCTCCCAAGGATATAAATATATACTAGCAATGATTTATATGTTTTCTCAGTAGGTAGGTTGAGTTCATTTCCATGTTGGAAACCCACCACCAGAGCAGCAGGCAAGACATTGTTAGAAAAGATTATTCCTACCTGGGGAGTTCCCTCTGAACTTCATAGCAATTTGGGATCTCATTTTACTAGCTGAGTAATCCAATCTATCTGCAAAATGTGGCCCATTCTGCAGCATTTCCATTGTGCTTGTCAATCCCAATCTTTAGGATTGATAGAATGTATTAGTGGAACCATTAAATTAGCTAAACTAATAGAGTCTTTTAAACTGCCTTGGCCTAAAGTTCTGCAACTGGTCTTGCTTAACTAGTCCTGGAAAGAACAGATAATCTCTTATTGAATTTACTACTTGCAGGCTTATGAGGTTAGATAAAAGCATGTATCAACTAGTTTTGCTTAAAGGAAATTCCTAAGGTATTGCAAGGAACTTGTTAAAGCTTTAAAGGCTAACACCCAGCTTCTTGGGGTGCCTGGGTGGCTCAGTCAGTTAAGCCTCTGACTTGGGCTCAGGTCATGATCTCACAGTTCATAGGTTGGAGCCACACGTCGGGCTCTGTGCTGACAGCTTGGAGCCTGGAGCCTGCTTGGGATTCTGTGTCTCCCTCTCTCTCTGCCCCTCCCCTGCTAGCACTCTGCCTCTCTCTCTCAAAAATAAATACACATTAAAAATTTTTTTTTAGAAAATAAAGGCTAACTCCCCGCTTCTAGAACAATCTTTACATAGCTTGCCCTGGGGAAACAAAGACATACACCATCATGACCTCCAACCTGGAGATTATGTTCGCTGAAAAAGACACCTTCATAAGGATGCTCTAAGCCCTGATGGAAGGGGACATACCAGGTATTAATTAACCAGTCCTTATGCTGCCAAGCTGAGGAAGCACTGACTCATGGATTCATATTTCTCATTTAGAAAAGGCTCCTCCTCCTAAATGGTCTTCTCTACCTACCAGAGGCAGCCAACTAAGAATTTCCAGAAAACTTAAACTTATTCCAGGTGACGCCTTGAGTCCTGGACTGGAAGCCACCAGCATCTGATGTAAACTGCTTTTGCAAGAGTCAGGACCAGACCAGTGTATCAATCCTTTGTCATAGTTATTACCCACTGTTTAGCTCTTTGATTTCCCTTTACTGCTGAAAGCTCTTTGATTAAGCTATTCTAATTACATTATTGTTTGCCACTTCCCAAAACAAAACAAAACAAAATCCAGAGATGCCAGTTATTGCAATGATATATGAAGACAATTAAGCTGGTTGAAATTCTTAGATTATTGTTCCTTCTAAGAATCCTTGTGATCTTTGCTCTTTCACACAAAGTTGGGATTCTCCACTGGTGGTAAAATCCCTCCTTTGGTTAAAAACCCATTCTACCACTATAGTATCTTCTTACTCTTAAATTGGTGCTGCTATTATCCTCCTTTAGTTTCTTTTCCTTTATTTCATTTAAAGAAATTATTTTCCTGACTTGATGCCTCCTCCCTGTTTTGTCACAGAGGAAAAACAGTCACACAAATATCCCAGAGTTTAGCACAGGCAGGAAATCTTTCTGTTGGATCTGCCACCATCAGGCCACTATAGGCTATGGAGGATACAGTGCCCCTTTGGTCATCCCTGTTTACAACCTCTCTTTTCTCTCCAATGTCACCATAAATCAGACAGCCCCTTTTGACCTTACTTACCATGTTAAAATAGCCTTACCTCCTTCGAAAGGGAAACTCTCCTTGCTTTACCTACCCTAATCCCTGCCCAAGAACTGACCTGGGCAACATCTCCCATGGATAGTCACCCTCCAATCTCGTTCTAAACTTCATCAAGAATTACCTGCCAGGGGTGCCTGGGTGGAACGGTCGGTTAAGCAACTGACTCTTGACCAAGTCATGATCTCACGGTTTGGTTTGTGAGTTTGAGCTCCAGTCCAGCTTCGTGCTGATGGCAAGGAGCCAGCTTGGGATTCTGTCTCTCCTTATCTCTGCCCTCCCCCGCTTGTGCTCTCTTTCTCTTTCTCAAAATAAATAAATAAACTTTAAAAAAAAGATTAAAAAAAGAAAAGAATTATCTGCCACTAGCCCTTGCCTCATAAAAACACACTGGAGCCTGACTAGTTTTCCAACAGACTCTTCTGGCTGTAAGACCCTCTTTTGTACAAGGTTCTTTCAACTACGCTATGATATCAAAAGAAGCATTTATCTGGCTGCTTGAATAAAACAGACCCCTGGTTTTCTCCTGTCTTACCCTCCATACCTACAAATGAGTCTGTTGATAATCAGACTTAAAAAGGAATATTTTGCACTCCCACAGAATATATTTTTGCCCGTGCCTGTAAGTGACAACCTTGGACATTTACCTGCCTAGACAGTCAGAAAAGAACGGGACAATATCTCCTAGGTTATTCAATTTCTCCCTTCACTATACTTCAATTGGTCACAGGGATCTTTCCTGCCCTAAACACTTACCATAGAAACAAGAGAGTTCTATCCATTATAAATGACTACCCAGATGACAACTCCTCCAAATAGGAAGACAATGGCTACACACATTCTCAGGACTGTGACCTCCCACAGGGTACAACCCTAATGAAAGAATGGATTTGGGGATCCATTTTGGGATCCTTTTTTGGAATCCTTTTTCCTGGTGGGATCTGCTGCAAATGAGGCCATGGTTAAGAATCTGCCCTAGGCTGTTAATAGAATAACCAGATCTGGCAGGGTGGGGGGTGCTGGGTGGCTCAGTTGGTTAAGCATCCGACTCTGGATCTCAGCTCACGTCTTGATCTAGGGTTGTGACCCCGCTGGGCTTGGAGCCTACTTTAAAAAGAAAAAAAAAAAAAAAAGAATAGCCTGATCCACTG